ACATGGGAGTCCAGCGACATAGCCAATGCACCAACTGCTGGTCCTGTACATACCTGTTTCTTAGGAAAGCATCTTAAGACTACTTTTTAAAAGCAATTTTGAAACATACATTTTTAAAAAATATTATTCATTTATTTAATTCCATTTATTCTTCTTCTTCTTCTTTTAATTTGACCAGAGACAGAGGAGAGAGAAAGGGAAAGGGAGAAAGCAAGCCACCAGGTCCAGGACTCAAACCACGGTCAGCCATATGGGAATCCAGCATCTTTAACCATCACGCCACCTGCTGGCACCTAAACATACAATATATTTCTATTAACTATTATGAGCACAGTGCGCAGTAGGTCTCTAAAACATACCACTGCTGTCTAACTGAAACTTTGTATGACCCTTTGAATGACATCTCCCCGTTCTCCCTTACTCCTCTCCCCCAACCTCTGGTAGCCACCATTCTGCTCTCTACTCCAATGAGTTCAACTTCTAAAAAAGCACTTTGTGTTTTTTATTGTTTCTTTGGTGCTTTGGTTAACTTTAATAACCTTATCAAGGTATAATTTATACACCATAACATTGATCCATTGTAAGTGTGCCGTTTAATGAGTTTCAGTAAGATTATGGAGTTGTGCAAACATCACCATCCCATTCTAGAACGTTTCATCACACACCCCCGATACCCTTCATACTCATCTCCAGTTCACCTCCCATCCTATCCCCAGCCCTAAGCAACCATTGATCTACTTTTTGTCTCTATAGACGAGTCTTTTCTGATGTTTCCTATCAATGGAACCATACATGAGATCTTTTGCTTCTGTTTTTAAATTATAGATAAATTTATCTCTGAGTCTCAATTATTGGAAAAATTGAACTCCATCTTCATAGAGACAACAGGCTCTCAGTTTTAATCTATACCCCTCATGGAGTTGAGAGATGTTTCTCAAAAGAGAAAAAGAGATGTGAGAATATTTGGTGGGGATGGTCAAGCCAGTGAAAGTAATAAAAATGAATGCAGTCGGGAGTTCAATAGACTCATTTAGAGATTTTTTAAAAGCTTCGTGGAAATGCACGTGTATGCAGAATAGCAGAGGTGGGTAAACAAGCCAAGGGGCTGGGGAGTTCCGGCCAAGCAGAGAAGATTGTGTCTGTAAATCCTGAGGCTAGAAAATGGCGGCACAGCAGGAACACTTTGCAAGACTGAGCAGAAAGAGCACAAAGAACAGGAGTCCAAAGAGAGGCTGAAGTGGTATTTAAGGACCAGATCAAGCAGAACACGGTGGGCCATTTCAGTGCTGTTTCTTCTCCTAAGAGCAAAGGGGTATCAGTGAGTTACTAACAACACTAACCAGAGCCTGGTAAGTATTTAAGTAGGATCACTCTCCCTGCAGTATGAAAAGTGGGCAGGACACACAGATTGGGAACATGCTGGTGTCAACTGTGTCTTAGGTCCTGGGCATCTAAGATAACAGAAATAAGTTATTGCTGGCCAGTGACAGAGCGTGTAAAGGGAGGGGAGAGCTTCGAGAACTACATAGGAGCTGACTTGGGTGGGCCAAGAGATTTGTTTTACTAGAAGAGAGGGAAAAAAATAAACTCTAAGAAAGACTCTAAGAGTTTTGGCTTAGGTAAATCAGGTTTCTCATTGCTTATCTAAGAAAGAAGCTAAAAACTCTCAACCCGATTCCAGCTCTGGGTTGATTTTCTGCAACATGCGGGGAAGGCAGAGACACCAGTTGCATGTGGATTGGGCGTGATGGGTAAACAAACATGGTGTGGGTAACTGAGATGGACAATGGAGAGTCAATTCTCTATGTACGTGACCTATATTTGGCATGTGTTCTCTTTTCCAGAAATTCCTGACACTCCCTGTGTTTTTCCATTTATTTACGGTGATGTTACCCACTATAATTGCATCTCCGTCCACAGCAACTTTCTTTGGTGTTCTCTGGACAATCATTTCCAAGGCAGGTGGCGGTACTGCAAAGCTTTGGGTAAGTATCTTGCAAGGGTTGTCTTGGATGCCCAGGATCCCAGAAGCAGAGAGCTACCTGGGTTTTGGTGTCAGACCTGCATTCTAATTCTGACTTTTCTACATAAGGTTAACCACTTTGAAAACAGTTCAGTGTGCTGGAAAAAGCATGATGTGCGGTGAATTCAGCAATTATTCATCTTAAAACTTTCTATGTTTATAGCTCGCCCTCCACCCCCATTTTCTCTGCAGATCCTCCCGAGTGCTCCTTCCCCTTCTTATTCAGAAAGAAATTCATTTACAAATGTACGAAGGACTGCTATATTCTGGATCGGAGTTGGTGTTCATTGACAAAAAATTACAACAAAGATGGAAAGTGGAAGCAATGTTCTCCTCAGAAGTAAGATGCTTGGGACATAATGGGGTGGAAAGTTCACAGCTCTCTGGAAGCAGGGAACCCTCTGGATTACTGCAGGTGGTAGCTTGAGGTCTAAATCATCTGGTGATGACTTAGATCAGGGAAGATGGCAAACATTTTCTGTAAATGGCCCCCTAGTAAATATTTTAGGCTTAATGGGCCGGTGGACTCCATTGCAAGTACTCAGCTCTGCCTTTGTGATGCGCAAGTGACCATGGACAATACTAAAACTAATCAAAGTGGCCGTGTGCCAGTAAAATTTTACCTGTGGGCTTTGAACTTGGAATCTCCTAAAACTTGCAAATGTCTTAAAGTATTAGGAGTCCTCTGTTGTTGTTCTTGTTTTTTGGTCAATCATTTAAAAATGAAAAAAAAAAAAATTAACTAAAAGTCTGTAGGAAAACAAGTGGCAGGTTTCACTTGGCCTCTGGGACTTAGACAGCATGTCCTTGTTTGCGCAATCTGTCCTTGACCTCAAGTTGATGAAGACACGAGGTTTGTTCCCATTGAAAAAGCAGATGCCTGAGATGCAAGGCAGAGCACAACTGAGGGGAAACACAGGCATTGCCAATGACGGGCTGTGCTGCGCTTCGTTTTGGGCTTTTTAAATTTATTTTTTATTTTTTATTCTTTACATTCAATCTCTGTATGTCTTTACAACATGGAAAATGAATTTTCCCAGCATGAATACCCTGTCTGTTAGTCCAGTCAAAAAGTCCAGTCAAAAGAATATGGGAGTATCCTTCATCCGACTGCCACCCACAGCACGCATGCTTTGAACATTTATGTCGTACCCCACACAGACGTACAACGATTAAATGTAAATAAGAATTGTAAAATAAAATAAAATAGAAAAGAGGGAATAAGGAAAGCACAGTCAATACTCTTATGTTAATGAAGGAGTCCTTAAAAAGTTCATGCAAAATGTGCATTATGAGAAACTATGCATGGATTTCAAGCCTCTTTGCACCAATATACATTCAGACTTGAATTCCATTTTTCCATGAACTTTTTGAGGTCCCCTCGTACCTTTTGACTCCAATAAATGATTGTGTTCACCTTTCTTATTGGGCACCCAGAAATGTCAGAGCGTTATTTGGGACCCAGAAAAAGGTAACCATATTGTCTGAGATGTGCAGAGTCCCATTTTTCTGGCCAACTGGCTTTTTGAGTCTTTAACCTTCTCTGGAGTTCAGCCAATCATTATTCATTAACAAACTGGTCTGAAGCTTCATTTCTTGGTGAGATGCCAGGGAGCCTCTTTAGTTTCAACATTTGGTTTTCAATCTCCTATTACTTACCCACAGGTTTTTTTTTTTTTTTTTTGAGTTTTTTCCTTAAGAGATGTGCTTGCCAGAAAGACAGAGACAGACAGAGAGACAGAGAGTCAGAAAGCGAGAAATAACCCCCCAAGGGGATGGCCATGCTGCAATCCCTTCTTCTCCATCCTCCTCTTGGGATCTTGGGCACACACACACATGACTGGTGTGAGTTTAAGCCACCAGGTCTGGGAGTTGAACTGCAGTCAACTACATGAGAGTCCAGCAACATAGTCATTACGCTAACTGCTGGTCCCTCCTACAGCTTTTTATCGTCTTAGAATAAGGCATGTGTACTGAGCAGCAGCCATCTAGTCCCATCATTTGTACAACTACCATTTCCGGTCCCTGAAAAATGGCAAGAGCTAGCTTGTGCCGCTCCACCAGGGTATTATCCCAATGCAACCCCAGTGAAAGTTTCAACCATCGGGCTACCACCTTGCACAGGGGATTATCTGTTCCTCAGCTACTACCAACAATGGAGTTCTTGTTGCCTTCACAGGTTGTGACCCAGCTTCAAATCCCCATCTTATTCTTTTAACTTTAGATGTTTATTTCTTTATTTATTTCATAAAGGAGAGAAGCACCCCAAAAGGACCCCCATGCCATGATCCACCCCGAACCTCAGGCAGCGTAGATTACAGGCACACACATGTTGGTGTGTACCAGGAGACCTCAGAATGCATACAGGACCCTCCCTCCCAACATGTGGGTCCAGTTGCACTCCTGCTGCTCCACTGTCTGGCCACCAAGTCCCCATCTTATGGGGACTGTTTTCTTGGGCCATTCCTCTCACAGATTGGGTTCTAAGAAACAAGTGTTTCTTCTCTTCCTTTTTTCCTTCCTCTTTCCTTTCCTTTTCACTGCCTTGGTCCATGAAGTTTTAAACAGATAATCAAAATAATTAGCTTTATAATCATAAAATTAGTAGGTTAAGAATTAGGGAAAATTCAGGGTGTTACAACCATGGTGAAGTTAATACTGTTCAGGCTGTTAGTGAGGTCATACAATTGGAACTGAGCTTCCTAGCAGCCAAGTAAATAGAAATACATTTTTAGTTTCATCACTTGTACTGGTCAGAATATTTGAAGTCCATATAAGAAAAGATTTTCAGAAGGGTGCATTATTCCTCTTCACAAGGGCTATTCAGTTGTACATGTAAAAATAACTTTCCTTGGGACCAGCAGTTGGTATAAATGGCTATGTAGCTGGACTCCCAGGTAGTTTCCAAATTAGTCTCCTTCAACATTAATTTCTTTAACACTGAAAATTATCAATTTAATAAATTTTATTTATATAATGGACTGCATAACTTTAATGGCCCATAGAATAATCAGTAATGGCAAATTCTGTTTAAGTGTGAGAGAAAAATACTATGCCCTTGTTAGACTTCTGATGTCTAATGTTTTTCTGCCCTTCTATTCTTTTTTTTTAACATTTTTTGTTTTTAACTAATTAATTGATAATCATACCTGTTATCTTCAATAATTTTTCATTTCTAGTTTCATATAT